ACATTCTAGGTGTTCAGTAATTGTTAGTTAAATAAATTAATGAATGAAACAGATCACTTTGGGCCTTATTCAACTGAAATGGGTCTCCAGATTTATCAGTAATTTCTTTTTAGTTTATATTTTTAAAAATAACATTTTGTTTTCACCAGTTACATGTAAAAAGACAGTTTTTAACATTAGTCTTTTTAAAATTTTGAGTTTCAAATTTTCTTTCTCTTTCTCTCACCTCGCCCCTCACTGAGACAATAAGCAATTTTATATAGGTTAGATATGTTCAGTTATGCAAAACATATTACCGTATTAGTTATGTTGTGAAAAAAGCCACAGACCCGGAAGTGGGGGGGGAACATGAAAAAACTAAAGAAAGTGAAAAATAGTAAGCTTCAATCTGCATTTGTAATCCATCAGTTTGTTTTTTTTTTTTTTTGGTTGTTTGTTTTTTGGTTGTTTTTTTCTTAGCCTCTGGAGGTAGATAGCATTTTCCATCATGAATCCTTTGGGGTTATATTGGATCGTTTATTGCTGAAAATAGCTGAGTCATTCACCAATTGATCATTGTACAGTATCGCTGTTATTGTATACAATGTTCTCCTGGTTCTGCTCACTTTTCTTTGCATCAGTTAGTGTAAGTCTTTGCAGCTTTTTTCTGAAATCAGCCTGCTCAACATTTCTCATAGCACGGTAGTATTCCATTACAATCATATACCACAACTTGTTCAGTCATTGCCCAATTGATGGGTGTCCCTTCAGTTTTCAATTCTGCTATAAATATTTTTGTACAAATAATTCCTTTTCCCATTTAAAAAGATCTCTTTTGAATACAGACCTAGTAGTGGTATTATTGCTGGATCAAAGTGTATGCACAGTTTTATGGGCCTTTGGGCATAGTTCCAGATTGTTCTCCAGAATGGTTGGATCAGTCCACAACTCCGCCAACAGTGCGTTAGTGTCTCAATTTTCCCACATTCCCTCCAACATTTTTCATTTCCGTATTCTGTCATGTTAACCAATCTATTAGGGTGAGGGGAACCTCAGAGTTGTTTTAATTTGCATACCAGTGATTTCTTAATTTCCACTGACCTCTGTGATATTTGACATGTGAGTCTAATATCTCCCTGTAGATACTCTTTTCTCTCCAGGTTTTCATGACTCTGCTCTCTCCTGGTTCTCCCTCCTACCTGTCTGACTATTCTCCTTTGCTGGATCTCCATCCAGGTCACTCCCACTAATTGTGAACATCCCCTAAACTTCTGTCCTGGTTCCCCTTGTCTCTTCTCTTAATAATCTCTTATTTGGCAATCTAGTCAGTTCCTATAGATTCAATTATCAGCTCCAATCAGACAATTCCCTCATTTTTCTAATTTCTCTAATTTTTCTCCTGAGCTCCAATCCCATATAACTAACATCCTTATTGAGCATTTCAAACCAGATATGCTATAGGCATCTCAAACTCAACATGTATGAACTAGAATACAGTATTGTTCCCCTCCAAAAACAAATAAAAAACCCAAAACTTTTTCTTCTTCTGAACTTTCCTATTGTTGACAAGGACGCTATTCTCCTTCCACCACTCTCCACACAGGTTTGAATCCTCTCTGTAATTCTCAATTCCTGTCTCTCACTTCACATGTCCACTTAGTTACCAAATGTTGGATTTTCCCCCTCTACATCTCTCACGTGAATCCCTTTCTCTCCACTCATATAACCACCATACTACTTCAAGCCCTCATCACCCCTCTCCTTGTGTATTGATATAGTCTTCTAATCAGATGCCTTGCCTCAAGTCTGTCCTTACTCCAGTCTATCTTCCTTCCAGCTGCCAAAGTGATTTTCCTAAAGTGTAGTCCTGAATATGTCATACACTTTACACCCCTGACCTCTTTCTTAGCAAACTCTAATGGATCCTGATTATCTCAAGGATCAAATATAAACCACCCTTGATAGTCAAAGCTTTTCTGACTTGGCTTCTTCTCATCTTTTTAGTCATTTAACTTATTACTCCCCTCTCTATACTCTACAGTCTAGCCATACTGACTCCTCACTGTTGCTTACACCTGATGCTCCATCTCCCACCTCTGGGCCTTCTCAGTAACCATCTCTTATGCATGGAATGCCTTCCCTCCTTGCCCTTGCCTTTCAAAAGCACTGGCTTACTTATAGACTCAGTTCAGGCCTCTCTTCTTTCAAGAAGGCTTTTCTGATCCTCCAGCTACTAATTGTCACCTAACGCCACCTTCCATCTACTCTGTATTTATGTGGTATGTATTGATAACATAATAAAAATGTAATATTTGTTGTTGATTGATTAATTGTACATTGTTATAATACCTATAGTTAAGGGCTTTGAATCCCAGTTGACCTGTGATCACAAGAGCAGATACAGCTTAGAAATAAAATGCTTCCTTAAGTGCTGTCTATAAAATGTACCCATATCATCTGCATGATTTAGGGTATTATTCTATTAGTTTTCCCAGAGTGCTCAGGAAGGATACACGTCTTTTATAGATCATGGTCTAGCAACGAAAAGGAGAGTGCAGTATTTTAGTGATCATTTTAATGTCTGGACATAATTCCAGTTAAAAGCAGAAATAAACATTTAAAATTCTATATAGTCTCTTCTGTAGGTAATAGCACAGTTGGCCTAATCTCCTTTTAATGTAGAATATTGTGCAGAGTACCACTTTTTCCTCGAGTTACCTCTCTGATTTTATGCAACCTTTAATGACCTTTTGTTAACAGAAATCTACTTAACAGTTCTTTACTCATAATACCTGTTTAAAGGTTTAAATTTCATATTCAAAACTGGCATATACAAATACAGTTAGAGATTACAACACTTCCCAAGTAGCATTAGGAGTATCTTGACCAAGTATTTCTTCAACTTGATGCAAAAATGGGTTCTCAACATTGGCATTTTTCCAGCGTCTTTTGCAGAAATATGTTTACATCAAAGCAGTCTTTGATGGGGTGCCCATTGTAGACCAGTGGGATGAAGGTCAGGGTAAACAGTGAGAAGGCTCAATATCTCATTAGCTGATAAGTTTTTGGTCACAGTAATGTCAAAACACCAACATCCCTATTTATACTCTGGGCTTTTTATTAGTGTTGTTTATAGCTTGAAGCTTAGAGGGCTGGTCTGAGGTGATTTGCTGTTGTGGGTTTATTGTTCCTTATAACCCTGCAAATTGAGTTATTACTCAAGTTAAGAGAAGTCAGTGTGGCCTAGTTGGGGGGGGGGTGATGGTTAAATACAGTTCCTAGGACCACAGAAGCCCAGATCAGAGTCCTGCCTTTGCTAGCTATATGACTCTTGGTAAGTCTCTAAACTTGCCTTTGTCTGTTTCATCTTCTATGAATGGAGGATGGTAATATCTGCTTTATCTTCCCTACAAGGCAGTCTTGAAGATCAGAGACAGCATACATGAGATCATGTTGAAAACTGACACCAAGCTGTACAAATAGAAGGTTTTATTACTGTTGACATCAAGGAGTTCTTTAAGTCATCCTACAGTGAGCCTTAAACCCTATTTGTATTATAAATACAAATTACAGATAAATTGTAAGCTCCCAAAGGGTGGAAACTGTTTTGTCTTCTATGTTTCCCCAACTTCAGCCTTAGGGTCCAGCACCTAGAAAAGTTTAAGGTGAGTGTTTGTTGAATTGAATTGAATTAGTCACTGGCATCCTAAATTTGAGCAGTGAAGACATTTATCCCCAGAGGGGAACAAAAAAAGTACAAGTGGAAGAAACCTCAGGCCTAATCCAGCTCCCTCACCGTACAAGTAAGAATATTGATGTCCAGAGAAGTAATTGTCATTAGGTAACTGATTAATTAGTGGTAGACCCAAATAAACAACACTCAAGTTATCAGCTTCCTAATCCACTGTTTTGTCTCCCTCCCTCCCTACCTCCCTTCCTTCCTTCTTTCCTTCCTTCCTTCCTTCCTTCCTTCCTTCCTTCCTTCCTTCCTTCCTTCCTTCCTTCCTTATACATTAGAAGGACTTGAAGAAATTCTAACCCTGCCAAGAAACCAAGGAGGAAATAAAATTTATTGGGGGAAAATGGTCGTTCAGAGAAATGTTTCAACAACTGAGTAACTTTGGGGAATCAGAAATGGAAGTACAAAAATAAACCATGGGGCACCAGAAGAGTACAGAGTGACTGTCATAATTTTGTTCTTTCTTTGCATTGGTTTAGTGGCCACTTGAGTAATGCATTTCTGTTTTACTGTAGTGGTTTTCCAAGCAAAGTCAAGGGTGACCTCATCATCTTGGAGGGGCATCTAATTGGCCCATAAGTGAGATTCCTGTAGTATTAGCATACATAAAATGAAGGGATTTTGCACAAATTTGGAGTTCACTTATTATCTCTATTGTTGCTGTCTCATCCAAAGCAAGGGCATTCTTTTCATTTATTCCAGGATTTGGGGTGGGAAGCGGTTAGGGGCAATTCGAGGTAGGATGGGGATGTTCATGGAATCTTTTACAAGCCTATGAGGTGATATATTTACTGGCAAAGGTTAAGAACTCTTGCTTCTTAATATAGGGTAAGGGACGCCAGTAACCTAGGTGCTGGTGATGGGCTCCTCCATTAACTCCCTGTGTGCCCTTGAACAAATCGTGGCCTCTTTTTTGTGCTAGAGCTTCCTCTTAGAGGAGTTGGAATAGTCTCAGAGCTTCTTCTACCTCTGTTATTCCAGGGATCTGCCAGAGTTCATACAAAGTGCCTAATTATTCATCATGAGCAGCTTACTCCCCTCTAAGCCCCTGGTGCTATATATATGTAATAAATAAGGGGTTTTATGCTTACTTTAGTGCTGAGCTGCTTTTAATGGGGGAATGGCCCTTCCTGAGAATTGGCTTCTTGGAGTATGATAGTGATCAAGATGGCTAACTGCAAACCTGTAAAAAATAAAATAATAATGGGTCACCCCCCCCCACCAAGGTGATTAACTTTGCATTGTTTTCAACAAACTTTCTTATTTTTGTGTCTTTCCTCAGGCACAGAAGCTAAAATCCAATGCTTCAGGAAATCCACACCTCTGCCTGGCTGATGTAAGCACTGTGTGAACTCTGTTTTGCTTTACTACTTTTGGGGACTAGAGCACATGGTCTCCAGTGCTGGTTTGGGGAGAAGGGGTAAAGAGAGCCCACATTGATTCTCTACTCAAACTTGAGTTCAGCCATCCTGTTCGGACACCGTTTAAAACAGAAATGGGGCTCTGAGCTCACTATCTAAAACTCTATGGCTGCAGGAACCAGTCCGTTGACACTTTTGTCAGTATAAAGAACCATCACTGTAATGTCCTGGTAAACCTCATGTGGTGCTTTTGATTCGAAGTTACATGGAAACAACACATAAATACCTGATTATGCAGGTTACAGGGTAATTATATTTGCAACTATTAAGCATAATATGTAGGGATGGGGAATTGTGGAATTTAGCAAGCCTGAACTTAAAAGATGACAGAGTGCTTGCTTTTGATAAGTAAATTGACAGCTGCACAAGTCACTCCCCACTTAGTACATGAAAATCAAACATGCATCATCAGATAAGTGATAATTAAATGCTTAGCTCTTTACGTGATGAGTGTTGGAAGGTCTCCTTATTAAGGTGATTCCAGTGCCAGTTTGAGCTGCCAGATCGAGGGACAAAAATTAGATTTACTTGAATTTGTGGCAGTTTGGGCTAGTGGTACGCATGACACATGGGTGGGGAAGAGTAGGCTGCTGTGATGGAGCCTCCTGCCCCTTTTCACAGATGGGGCGGGGGGGGGGAGTGGGGAGAAGAGCAAGTGAATGGTGTTACTTTTTTGATCACACGGGCTGTGCCTTGACATCTCTGCTAGCATCCATTTTAATGTAAGAAATTGCTTGGATGCCACAAAAATGAGTTCCTGTAGCTGAGGCTGATTTTAGGGTCCCAGGACTAATTTTAACACATTCAAGAGCATTGTGCTTGGAACCCAACAGACCTGGGATTCTAGTCCCTTGCTCTGTCATTACTGTGATGAGTGACCTTAAGAAAGCAATGGTACAGCTATGGGCTTCAGTTTCCCTGTTTCTAAAATGAGAAATGGATTAGAGGATGTACAAAATCCCTCCTAATTTCAATTTTTTTATCCTTAGCTTCATTCCCAATAACCTGAGATAGAAGCAGTGAGTACACTGAGCTTCACCTGTAAAACTGAGGACTGAACCAGATGACTTATAGCTTCATAAATTTAAAACTAGGGGAGAGCAAAGAGATTGTCTAGTTAACCTTCTTATTTTTCTGATGAGGAAACTGAGGTCTAGAGAGATTTCTTTTTTACTTACACAAATTCACCTCTATAATAAGTGGTGAAGCTGGTATTTGAACTCATGTGCCATGTTGCCAAATCCTGTACTCTTAAATTCTTTGAGTCTCAATACTTATATTAGCACTTTTGGTTGCTATATGAGGTAAAGGGACTTCTCTGACATGATTGATACCCCTTTCCATCACCATTGGTTGTCCTTTCCCTCACATTGGTGAACCCAATAGGGTGAGCTAGTAACCCATTGGTTTTCCTTTCCCTTACAGTGGTGAAGCCAATAGAGTGAGCTGGTGACCACAAAGCGCATGAGTGGCATAATCTAACTGAACACTTGTGAGGGAAAAAGATAGTTTGGAGAAGAAAGCCCAAGCCCAGCAGAGACTTGAAACGTCCTCTCAGTTGGTACCTTTTCTGCTAAATTGATTCTTAAACAGTGAAGTGGTCAGGTAGTCTTTGGCTTAAGAAGTTCTATAGTGAAGATGAAACAGACCACCAGCTTCACTGTTCCCCATATTTTAAATTTTGCTAATTAACCTTTATGTAGAAAAAACCAAGATCCATTCTGATGAGTAACAGGGTAATAAGGTAAAAACCAAGTTAAGTTTAAATGCACATTGGTGAAAAGGAGCTGTTCAGCAGGCGACTCACTGAAAAAGTATCCTCTCTTACAGCGGGATTTTGACAAAGACCGAGCTGGAGGATCCAGCCAAATCTCCTCGGACTCAGCGGCAGCGCCTGCGAGTGGGAGCCTAAGCAAATTGACGGTGGTGGCCATTGCCGCATTGAAGGCCTTCTTGTCCATAAGTCTGGCAGAAACGTTGTAGCCCTGTTAACAAACAAACAAACAAAACAACCACATATGGACGTGTACAAAAACAAAACAAAAAAACAAGCCGTTTCCTGTTCTTTGTTGTCTATCTGAAATTCCAATTTTAGGAGCTAAGTTCAAGCAGTCTGCTAAAAGAGTTTCATTCAACTGGAAATTTTTTTTTTTTTTAAAGCAAGCTTCTTGTGATATTCAGGGGCCTTTGTGGAATATTTGATGCAGTGCTGCATTCCAAACCCAAAAGGCTTTTGAACATGCTGTATTTTAAAGAGACAGTATGTAAATTTGGCTATAAAACAAATAGGCTTTTTGTTATTAATTAATTTTTAAATGGTTTTATCCCTGGCTTTTATTTGCAAGGGGGACTAAGTTTGTTTTCCTAATATCTTCCCTAGTTCATTGAACAGCTTTGGTTTCAAATTAAGTGAACTTCAGACTAACGGGGATGCCAGGCTTTTGTCACCACATAAAGGTTTTCACAATGAGTGGACTTTATGAAAACATTTCCTTCTCATAGACTGCTACTGATGTTAAGCTTTCTAAATGTATTAGCATCTTTCTTCTTAATGTTTATGAACTCTTAAGTGGTTTTGCATTCTCTCCTGCTAAAACATGATATGTCACATACAGATGTAATGTATGTTTCTCAGTTATGATTTCATAAAAAAGGGGGGTGGAGGGAGTTTGCAACTTGCTAACGGTATGTTAATCATTTAAATACATTCATCTAAGCCTTATATGGGTGAGAATTCCTTAAACTAACAAAGAGTCAGACATAATGGAAGCTTAACTCTAATAATCTTTACATTTATGAGATTATATATAGAAACAAATTTTACTAAATGGTTTCAAATGTTGGCTTTCTATATTTTGGACCTAATAATTCTATCCCCATTTTTTACTGTTGGTTTAATACAAAATACATGGAGTTCATTTCCCTCTCATAGAACTGTTTTATCTGCCTATATTAGTAACACTATAAATATAACTCCTTAAAAGCAGAATTCTAGGAGCCTTATGCTTTATCAGAAAGCTCTGCATCACATTATGGTAGACAGGAGCAGGGGGGAAACAGAGAATCCTAAAGCTTAATCATTGACCATTCATGGAGATATGCTAGGAGCCTCATTTGAAGGGGGGAATGTTGGTCACTTACAAAATGGTCTAGCTCTAATGGCCACATTGCTAGTTCACATAATGTAATGATTCTGGATTTGTTTCACTTAACAAGGACAGCCTTTACTGGATGAGGCAGAATTCTCTGCCCCATCCTTCAAGCATCGGCACAGTTCCTTTCCTGAGGGTTGTCTTTATTCTTAACTGTGACGGCTTAGTTACTCTTACTGGCAGTTATGTCTAAATGATCCACAGTAATCTAGTTTTATTGAGTTGCATCTCTTCCCCCTTCCTTCCCCCGACTCTCCCACCCCTTCCATGACAGACAATAACGGAATTAAGGCAAAAGATTCATTATGTTGGATTTAGAGTTCTGAAGTAAAACTTCCACGGTAATATACTGGATCCATCGTGATTGTTCACTTAGTATAGGACAAAGATAAAAACAGGGACCCTTAAATTACAAAGTACAGGGCTGCCTCAGTGTAGAGAAAAGCTGCATACTGTTGGCAAAACATTGGGTGCATAGATCTACACATTCTCTTCTATAGTTCTTTTTTATTAAACTGGTAGAATTCTAAAGTAGGTTTTTGAGGCCTGGGTATTTTTGAGGTAAATTAGATCCAAGGTATATTCTGATGTGTTTGTAAGAATGTGTACCCCTCTAGACAGAGTAAACTCAATAACAGCATTTCTCTTCGATTTAATGCTGATAAATTGGAGTTTTCTTTTGAATTCAGCAGAGAGGCTTTGGGGGAAGAAATCCACACTTGGTGTACACCATCTTAGCATACGTAGTCCCCCTTCCCTCAGTCATGCCGCTGTTTTCCTCCTGAGTGTTGATCAAATTATTGAAAGGGGGAAATATATATATATATATATATATATATATATATGATGAGAAAGAAGAAGAAATGTCTTTTGTACAACCAAGGTAAAGACCTAGTTTTTCCAAGTGTAATTGAGTTAGAAGCATATTCACACACAAATGCTTTTGAATGCATAGTTCTAACTATAATTGCCAACGTTCTTCAGTAATAAATGGTCTTAAGATAAACTTGATAAACATGAAGCCTATTTGATTTGTGAAAACTTTCTGAAATATACTACTTGGAATGAACACATTAAGTGTGTTGAAATATCTGGAAGACTAACAATTAGTAAATATCTCTTAAAGAACATATTTTGCTTTAATTATGCTATCTCTGTATCTACACTCAGCTAATTACATATGGGTCTGATGCAGTGTAGGCCACTATAAAACGCTATTGATTACTTCTGCTGTAAACAGCAGCTCTAATTAGCTTCAGATGACCAAAGAGGAAATGGTAGTTATCAGATCTAACAAGGGTCGCCTTCAGTAATAAGCTCATGGATATAAAACAGACATAAATTATATTTTGAAAAGCCTCATCTATCACCAACAAGAAAGTTCTTGTTTTTCTTCAAAGCCAAAAGCATATGATGGTTTCCAAATCCTTAATTTGAAAATAAATTGCTTATTAAACAAACAGGATATGGGAACAGATTCTCAGTGTCCAATCTTTTATTGAAGTTCTTATGGACTTAAGGCTGTCAAGATTGGCATGAATTCTTTCTAGTTGAATGTGACATGAATGATGTCAGCTTAACATGGTAACCTTGTCAACACTGTCATTTGCACCAGCCCTCTAGTAAGCAAATGATGTGGTTCTTTTCCATTGATTGTCTCCATTGAATGTTGACAAAATAAGGGCCCAGAAAACTCAAGTGTCTCCTCCCTTAGTTTTTAGCTTGTATGTTTTTGGAGCCACCAAATATGATAGCTAGCCATTGGAATATGGGAAGAAGCAGTCTATTCTGAGACTGTAAATGCACTGGAAGTTTCTAGGATGAGGCTGATTTTAAACAGGAACTAATAAACATTTAGGGCAAGTCCCAGAGTCAGAAAAGTCCTGCTGCCCTTTTTGGTTCAAAAAATACACACAAAAAAAAACCAAGCAGTTCTGCTAAAGGAATTAGAAGCACAGTCTAATTTGACATTGGCTTTATTTGACCATTTTTTAGTGTCTCAATTATAGCACACAATGGAAAAAAAAAAGTGCACAATGTAGAGTAGAGATGCAAAATGCTTACCACATACCTATTTTACCATATCTGTTTTGTCCAAACCACTAATAGAAATCTAGGATGAGAATCACAGAGAATATTTTTGGTTACGAGTAACAATTGTATCTCTATTACATATAGTTATTTGACTGGGTGGTTTCTATTTTAAATGTAAAAAGAAAATTTTTCTTCTGAAGTTAGCACAGAGCATTAGATATCACGTCTGGGAGTTTGTAAATGACTGTGCAGTGCCCCTATCAGAATTGTCACCTTTAATTTGGTCTATATTAAGACCAGTTCCTATCTTAAATGTACACAGAGGGTGGGTAGTCTCCATTGCATCCTAGGCCCCACATGCTACCTTCTGCTCTAAATCAGATACTCCTTCCTAAACACTCCATCTGCTTGAACAAGGGAAGTGGGAGAGCTCAAACACGTTTGAATCAGTGTGAGTACTTGGTGGGGGGAGGGAAAAGAGATGTGGGAGCCGTGGGAGTTCATATAATTAGCAAAATCTTTTCTTAGATTCCAGCTTAAAATGGATTTCTGTTGTTGTTGTTTATGAAATAGTGGCCTCCGAAGAGCTGCTTTTCCAAAAATAAGTTCTCATTCATGTCGTCAGGCATATACTACTTATTTGAATAAATAAACTACATGAAAGAAAATGCCACTTGAGTAAGTAACATGGGCTTATAAATTCCCATACAACCTAGTTTTTGGCCCCCTCGATCAATTTCCCTCTGAACATCCTCTATCTTACCTCTGTGATGTTTGGTAAAGATAAGCTAGACCAAGAAACTATCTTCCAGGTTCAAAGTGAATAAACAATAATGACTTAGAGTATTTGTCCAAAAAACTGAAGTGGTCAGAGCACCAGCAAGGGTAAACTGAAGTCATTCCAGAGATTTCTGTAGGAAAGGCATCGTATTTGCCAAGGAAAGGAAACTTTAAGATGGGGGAAAGCATCAAGATGGAACTCTGGAATGGTTGGCAAAATCACTGGTCCAGGAATGAATGTATCATATACCTGTGATGATATTCCTCATTGCTGAGAGTTGGCAACTTCCACCCAACAAAATAGAGGGAGAGTTAGCTTCTTTGAAAACTGAAAGCCCTTTTGAGGACGGCGTAAAGAAATAACTGATGAACTTAGGGTTGGCTGTTCTTGTTTCAGAGCTTTGAAAATAAAACAAAATCAATTCTGTTTGTAGGTTTTTAGAAGCTCAGTTTTTATTTTTTATTTTTTTGTTTTCTCCCTCGTCCCCAACATAGCCCTCAAGTTTTAACTGATAATTCTTGCCATTGCCTGCTTCGTTCAGATTTTACTTGTGGATACTAGGCAGCCTTACTCTTCAAATGCCAGGTATTTTAAACCAATTTGCCAGATTCTTATGATTCTCCACTGCAGAATCCCTGAACTATGTGCTTATGCTTCAGTCCAAATGGGTTTGGCTCAGCTCATGATCATTTTTCCATAAAACATCTAAACTATGGAATTAGCACATATTGTCTTGTTAATGGGATGTGCACTATGGGTGGCAAAAATCAGTCAACTCCCCATGAAATTTCATCTTGAAAGATTTGCTTTGTTTCTTCTGAAATTGGTTATTGACCTTTCTGGTCATCTACTTGATTTGCCTTCTTGTCCTTTCTTTTTCCCCTACTGGCCTAATTTAGTTTCTCCCTCCCCACAGTTCTCTTCTTGTGTTAACTCTAAATTTAGGCCTAATCAAACATATACCAGAACCCTTTTGCATGCTTAGTCTTGGCTTCCCCAAAGCCCGTCTGCCATCTCTTTTTAGGAGTAAGGGATCTGAAGTCTGTAATCCATCTTTTCCATACATCATCCCAGGATAGGAAATTGGTTCTAAAATCCCAACCAGGCAAGTCACATCAGCACTATCACTGAACTGGTTTGACATTGTCCATAATTTGATTGCAGTGGGTTTCTGAGCGGGAGGGAATTCTTATTATTGACAAGACAGTGGCCAAACACTCACAGACCTGAAATCTTCCTAAATGTTGTCCATACTATGGCACCTTGGGAACAGAGCAAGCCTTGGCCATATTTATTTCTATAGACTAGGGAAAAAGGAAACATCCTGATATTCATTCAAGGTCTTGGTCTCTGAAGGTCTCCAAGCTCATTTGACCAGCACAGCTGTGACTGAGGCTGCTTGCCTTTAGCAGGTGCCAATAGCGGCATCCTGTCATGCTGCCATGTGGAATTCATTTTTGCCAAGGGCAGCTGGCAAGTGCAATAGCCAGCTTAAGTAGGAAGCTTTCTCTGTTTTGACCTCTTTTCCTAACGCAGCCAGATTCCTTTACTTCCTTTTTGCTGTTTGTCCGTAATGGAGGAAGATTGGCTTAGGCATGTTAGGGGAGAATTAGATAATGTTCCCTCATAAGGGCACAGGCAACATGCCTTGTCTCCAAATTCTCCTTCCTCCTTGACCTTGCTCTTCCTCTAAAGACTTTATTGGATCTTAGAAGAAATCATATTAAGGCACCTCTGTACCATCCAGCTGGCACTGAGCTTTGTATATTGTGATTTTGAATGTTCGCACGTGAGGTCCTCAAGTCAATTAAAGTGTGAATCATGGTGGGGTAGGAAAGGTGGGTTAGACAGAGGGATGAGATCTAAGACACTTGAGGTCAACCTAGTTTGACTGCCTTTGCATACCCCATACTGTGTTAAACAGTGCCAGTGCTTTCAGTCCCTGATAGGGACTGAACTCTGAAGAGGTAATGATCTGCAGGGCTTTTCATCTTTAACTCATGAGATCAAATCCAGAGCAGCCCGAAAAAGGGAGAAGAAAGGCCTATTTCCCCAAAGACCTCCAGTGGAAGGGGAAGGGATGGTATCTGTAAGTCAGACAACCAGCTCCCCTGCTGGGGAGAGAAACTGAGCAACCAGGCCTACTTATAGCTTTGAAAGTCTGATTCCCTCCTGAATTCATGACTGCTGAGGTAGAGGGTAAGCTGCCCATGTGGAAGGAAGGGCAAATGTCTCTTCTCTGGCCTTTTGCACAGTCACTAAATTCCCTTTATAATTACCATATGAATTTACTTTTTAGAGCCTGAGTCTCTGTGACAAAAGTCCAACCAACCTTGAGAGCCACAGCCGCTTACCTATTACAGGCAGACACAGAGCAGGGGCAGTCAGATTTGCCCTTAACCATGAACTTAGTGAAGGCAGCCACAACAACCCTTGAATCACTCCCCTGAGCCATTGAGAAGTACAAATTCTGCAAAGTCCAGAAGCCAGTGGAGCTGCTGAAGCCATAAGGTAATAGTCAGGAAGTGATTTTATCAGAAACCACTTTTTTTCCACCCTTGTACAGTGCAAAGCAGCATATAAGGGAAAACCTGAGAAAGTCAAATAAATTTTGATTGAGGTGGCGGCAAAGCCAGAGCTGTGAAATGATACTGCCTGGTGTACAGAAACATAACTTGGGCCTAGCATACTAAGAATTAAGTTTAAAAAGTTCTGACAAGGTAAATAGATAGCCTAGACTTACAAGGGAGGTGGGAAGGTTACCAGCGTCTTGGAAATGACTAAAGGCTGTCAGCCAGGATCTCTCCACTCATAGCTCCTGGTGAAGGTGCTGGATTTCTCTTCAGTGTGTTGGCATCTAACTCCAAGGCTTAGTAGTGCTCACAATAGGATGCTCCTCGGGTTGCAGCTGGTGGGAGTGGGAGTGGGCACATGAGATAGAGGGTTATGGGAAACCTGCATTCTCTCCCTGGCTTGTAAAGTGTGGTTGATCTGGAATCTGGCTTTCTATTTTCCCCTTTTCTCTGGAGGCATTTCTGAATGCAGAAAAGGAAACTGATAAAGGTGGACTGACTCCCAGATTGCTCTGCCTCATTTGGCTGTGGTCTAACTCTAATCAGGCAGTTTTTTGGATATGCTCCTTGCTTTTTTTTCTGGATATTTAAAGATTCAACTTAAGAGGGCTGAAGGAAAATCTTCAAAAGAAACAAAGCCCAGTGTAGGGGGTGGGGTGGGATGAGTGGAGAGTATCAATTTCTCAACTATTTAATCCTTTCTCCCCCCTTCTTCCCCATCTGCCAAAGACCTATCGGCACTACTTTTGCTTAATATGGGGCTGTAAAGTGGTGTGTGCATGATCCTTCAATATTGAAACAATTAGCCCTATTTAATCCAGCTCATGTTGAGAAGTCATGTGAAGTATCAGGATGTTTTCCCCCCCTTCTTAATGGGTGTTTTTGGATCTCCTCTATTTGGGAGTATGTCCATGTTTTTATTCTGTATGATACAGGTCGGCAAGAACTACAGTGTAGGAAGATGAGAATAAAAAATCTGAAATGAGTCTGTTATGATGGAATCCCCAGAAAGGGGCCCACTTGCTCCCACCTCCATCGGTGCTGTGGCTTGGTTTGGAGGTGATGTCTCCAGTGTCCACAGTGATCAGAGCCTGCAGACTGGGAGCTTATTCATTGCTTTTGTTCCTGGTATTTATTTTGTACCATCTACTAACCAAGTACCTCCATTTCTGGAGGACCCTATACACTTACCTTGTTCTCTTGTGTATATTCTATATATGCTGTACTAAAGAACTCTGTACATTTCCCTGGGGTTGTTATACTGTATGAAGTCTTCTCACAGCCATTTCACAAGGTACTTTATTGCCAATGCCCACGGAAGAGGGTTTAGTGTGGAAAAAAAGGACTATGGAAGTGATTTTGTGATGTTTGAATTTTCTGTTAGTATATTGCTCATGCACTACAAACTGTACATAGCACCTTTCCCCACCCCCAGAATATCCTAATAAACATTGTTTTCTTTTTTTAAAAAAAAAGATTTCTGGAATGTCTTTTTTTTCTTCCTCATTGCCCTAACCTTCCACAAATACCTATGTTTAAAGCATTTTGGAGTTGGAAGGGCCCTTCCAGATCATCCACCCCAACACTGTCATTTATGGCTTTAAATTGATTTCAAAAAGGACATGGTCTTCTTGAAAACAC